AGGGAAAAGGAAAGGTAAAAGAGAGAGAAAATGAAAAAGGAAGAAGAAATATGACGTGGGTGAAAATTAGAGGGTCCATGACAAGTAAAAAGGAATAAAGGGTGACACGGTGTGTGAAAAATAGTGAGATTCGTACACATCAGCATCCAGCGCGTGAAAAAATGACACGCTGGCACGAGGTAACGGAGATCGTGACGGTGATGACGTCACCCGTTAGATAATAATCGATTTGACCAAATCGATACTTTTGGGGTGTCATTTGTCCCTGCTTTTTTTTTAGGGGTGGATCCGTCCCTACCCATATTTGTCAGGGGCTAATTTGAGGGTTCTGCCTAAAAACTTTCACAGGAAAGTTAACCCTCCAACAAGCGGGGTTAATTGGATCGGGCGTCAGGTTGCCGCATCACAGGATTTTTGGGTGAGTGGGGGGCCACGTATGAGATTATAATGTGCTGAGATCTTTGATTTATACCATTATTAGCTTAATTTGGGGTACTCAATTCCAATGTCGACCCTTCCGAGATGCAAAATTTGGTATCGGATTACAAACCAAAAAGGAAAAGAAATTATGAGTTTCTGAATTTATTTTTAGATTTAGATTGGCATTCCAACTGTGCTTTGTAGTGGCAACGTTATCCTGGTTCTTCGTTACCCACCCAGGTAGGTAAAGAAGGGATCAAATTCCAACTTTAAAAATTGGAATATAGACTGAGGCCATCCGTTTCCGTTCCTGCCACCAACTTTACAGACTATAATATTCCTTTAAGGGGAAATTTTGTTAGAGTTAATATCTCTCCAGCGTCTCCAGACCAAATTCTTTTTTAGTTAGGAAATTTTTTTATTAACATTGGGCAGGTGCAACAACAATTGTTAAATTTATTGATAAATAAATTGTTGATAAAAAGTTCATCTTTGTGTGAATACATTAACTTTCTATGTGGTAAATTTCTTCACCAAACTTACTAGTTGTGTTAAGAGCTTTTTAAATGAAAAAGCTTTTAAATTGTTATACTTTTTTTTTTAATAATGGATTCATATTTTTTTTTTCTATGGATGTAAACTTGTTAAGAAATATATAAATCAAATTATGTTAAATTGTTTGTTTCAATTTTTTTATCATTTCTGTTTATGTGGGTTTGTGATGTTCAAAATTCTCAACATAAATATCATTTTATAAATTGAATTTAATATATATATTTAATCATAAATCATATTTAATATTTACTTAGGAAAAATTAATTTTATTTAATATACCAAAAGAAAAATTAATATCAAACTATGCAAAAACTAATCCAATTACACTTTAACTATAAATATTAAAAAAATTAAATAGGTATAATATTGTAATTAATCTTTAGCATACATCACAACCATAATATTTTCTATTGATGATTTAAAACCGATGTTGTCATTGAATATAAATCACCAAAAGAAATATAAGATATATGAGCACTACATATTTGATTTATATATTTTTTTCCCTTCTCTCTCTCTCTCGTTGACAACATATTTTCTTCCCTTCTCATGTTTTCTTTTTCTTTCTTTCTTTCCTTTTTTTTTATCAGCTTTCCCTTCTCTTATTATTGCTCAATTTCATTTCATATAATATATATGATTAGTTACATCAATCAACACGATCACGTACTTAACTGATCTACTCTACTTTCATCTTTCAAAAATGAAAAATAAGGGAGGCACTTAGCCTTTTAACTTTGAATCTTATTGAATACGAGTGAACCATTGGGCAGAGCAATTGGTCCTTATGGATGACATTGGGTCTCAAATTCGAGCACACTGCACATCCCCTCTCCTTTTCCCCAAATGTCCAACAGTTGTACTCATTATTATTTTTTAAAAAAACGTTATGCCTCTCTGGAGTCTCATAAATTGGCTTTGATTCCTTTTCGTTCCCAAAACTTGTTCTTGTTAAATTAAAAAAAAAAAAAAGAAGGAAGAAGAAGAAAAAATTGAGCTTTGGACAAGAGCTACAACACTGACCTCTTTGGCGGGTATATGAAGACAGAGGCCTGTATAATTAATTTGTCAAATCTGCACACCAATATCCCACCATCACGTCCATCTTAGCCGTTTTGTTGCGCCACGTCAACTGTCATTAAGCATGGTTGCTGTGGTTGCCAAAGTCTTGCACCGCGTCATTCCCACAAACCATCTGATGAATACGAACGTCTAAGGTCTAGCCTCTCGTCCGTCCCTCTCTAACGTGTAGTAGTGTAATACTAGCTAGTAGTACGAGTAGGAAAGGAAGAACGAAGGTGGTTGGTTTTTGTTTAAGAAAATGCGTGGAAGGAGGTTGGTTTTTGTTTAAGATAATGCGTGGACCATAGTTGGTCGATTATTCTAATTATCACTGTTGTACCGAACTAGAAAGTAGAAACTGTTAAGATAAGTGGATGTGTATGACCCACTGAGAAGTGGGAACCATGAAATTAGGGTCTTCAAGAGTCAAGATACGGCAAATGTGCAAAAGAAGATAAGTCTCTTAAATTCCTCACCTCATCTCATTTGAATATCTTTCATGTGATTCACATTTAGAATTTATTAGAGTCACTAAAAAGATATTATTAATAAATTATTAAAAAAATATATCTTAAGTTATTCTAGCACTAATTTGGATATTTGATTGAGGTCAGCGCTGGG